AAAAAGCAAAGATGTCACTTTGAAAGCTAAGGTGCACCTGATCCAAGGCCATGCTATTTTCAATCATCTCATATGCATATGAAAGCTGGTTTATGAATAAGGAAGTCCAGAGAAGACCAAAGATGGCTTATGAATAACACAGACCAGAGAAGAAATACATTTGAATTATGGCGTTGATAAAGAATATTGAATATACTGTATTGAACATTGAAGAATGAACAAATCTATCTTTAAAGAAGTATAGCCAGAATGCTCCATAAAATGATGATGGTGAAACTTTGTCAAAGTGTTTGGACATGCTATCTCAAAAAGGGCCAGTCCTTAAAGATGAACATCATTCTTGGTGAAATTGAGAGTCAGTGAAAAAGAGGAAGACTCTCAGTAAGATTGGTTGACATGGTTACTGCAGTAATAGACTAAATATAGGAATGACTGTCAAGCTGGCAGGCTGGCATAGGGTCAACAGGAGTCAGAACTGACTCCAAGGCATCGAACAATAACAAAAATGAATACTGATATAAAGACACTGCTTAGTTTACCATCAAACATTTACTTTTTTTTTTTTTTTTGTAGTGCAACTATTTAGAGAATGAACTGTTGAATTTTCTTTTCTGTAAAACCTAGCAGGATTGAAAAATATACTTCTTCCTCCACTATTATATTTTCATACAACATATTTATTACATTTTGCACAGTTCTGGTGTGGCTCTGTGGGCTAATGCGTAAGATTGCAAAGTCATTTGAACTGCTAGGCTGGTGGTTCAAACTCACCAGCTTCTCCTTAGAAACCATATACAAGGTCACTATGGGTTGGGTTCGACTTAACAGCACTTAACAAAAACAACAACAACAACAACCATGTAAGAAAGTAAGAACTGGCATAATAAAAACAATTCCCTGACTTCAGTGCCATTTTCTAAACAGAAAATCCCCTGGGTCTTCTTCACTGTTTTTGATCTTACACCTATCACTTCTAAAATCTAAGAGGAATAATGCAGGAAACTTAACATAGGAAAAAAAAAAAAAAACACAAAAAATCTTCCTGGGATCATGATGCCTTTCACTGACAAATTCTAGAAAGAAGTACTTTTCCCCTATTTTAGTCAATCCTTCTATGAGACTGGTATGTGGAGACACAAGTGGAAATTCTGCTCACCTTCAGATATGGATCTGAACTCACCCCTAGTAGCTCAATTTTTAGCCAAGCAATAGGTAGAGGGAACAAGCAATATATATATATATATATTGTTGTTAAGTGCCGTCGAGTCGGTTCCAACCCATAGAGACCCTGAACAGGGTTTCCGAGGCTGTAAATCTTCACAGTAGCAGAAAGCCTCATCTTTCTCCCGTGGAACAGCTGGTAGTTTCGAACTGCTGACGTTGCGGTTCGCAGTCCGATTCGTAACCACTACACTACCAGAGCTCCTTCTACATATATATATATAGCTGGTGGCTGTGTGCTGTGGAGTTGATTCCGACTCATAGCGACGCTGTACAGGGTTTCTGAGGCTGTAAATCTTTACAGGAGCGTTGCCTCATCTTTCTCCTGCAGAATATCTGGTAGTTTCGAACTGCTGACCTTGCGATTCGCAGTCCAATTCGTAACCACTACACTACCAGAGTTCCATAAATATATACAAATACACACACACACATATATCTACACACACACATACACACATATATATATATATATATACACACACACACACACACATATAGAGAGAGAGCTCTGGTAGCATAGTGGTTACGAATCAGGCTACGAACCTTAAGGTCAGCAGTTCGAAACTACCAGCTGTTCTGTGGGAGAAAGATAAGGCTTTCTGCTCCCTAAAGTCACTATGAATCAGAACTGATTCCATGGCACATAACAACAACAACAATATACATACAGTGAGAGAGAGAGAGATAGGGATCAACAACACTGGTGGGTAATGCACACTGTAGAATGCTCAATCATTCAAGATCAAAAGGGCAGCATTTAGCTAAGGATAAGATTTCAAAGGGTGGGGAAAGAAGGAGGACTGGAAACAAGAAACACAAAGAGGAAATGGGATAAGTAAGGTTACATGGAAGGAATTGCAATCACCGACATGAAATGAAGTATATGATTTGTTGAATGCAAAACTACTGATCTCTCACTCAATTCACAATAAAAAGTTTAAAATAAATAAACAAATATCCCACCTGGATATGACCCTTACCTGCATCTCTTGACAAAATGAAGCCAATGGTCCGAAGAGAATCTGACATTGTTCATCAACAGTGTATGTCATTCCTGGCAGCTTGGAGGGGACCATCACAGAATTGACACTCTGGGGATTTGTTTGTAGCAAGCAATTACTGGCCTTTGACCTGGCAATATGAAGACAGGTATAAAAATTTCAATTTAATATAAAATGCTATTTTAATAGTTAATCTATAACCTAGAATATTTTTGTAATAGTAAAAATACGGTCTTACTTATAAATTGCTCTATTGAATGTATGTAGAAATTATTCCATTGTGAGAATAATTTCTTTATAATACTTAAGAACAATCATAAATAATAATAATGTTCGAGTCAAAAAAACCTTTTAAATATAAAGTTTATACAGATTAATTAAGATAGTTTACATAACACTATGAGGTGGGTATTGTTTTATGATTTTATTAGATTTAGAAACCCAGAAGAAAGTAATTTGCCCAAAAGTAATGTATGAAGGCAAGAAAATAGCTATAACTATAAAATGTATGGAAAGCATTCTTGTTATTAATAGTAAGGATATTTTTGTACTTGATATTTTTTTTCAATACAGCTTCCATCTATGAAGTGACATTTGATTTGAACAGAGTTCACACTCATGTGCAGACAGTCGTACAAGGTCATATGTATTCCTCAGAAACTCATTCAGACTCACCGAAAGGTTACTGACACAAGAAGGTGTTATGTTCAAAATATTACATGCTCTGAGTGTTGTTATCTAGATTATCAAGACAAAGAGCCCTTGAGGTCTAGTGCTTTATCCCACAGCACCACACCAGAACTCCAAGTAAGAGAATGTTGTTGTTGTTGTTATTAAGTGCCATCGAGTCGGTTCCGACCCATAGCGACCCTGTACAGGGTTTCCGAGGGTGTAAATCTTTACGGGAGTAGAAAGCCTCATCTTTCTCCCGCGGAGCAGCTGGTAGTTTCAAACCGCTGACCTTAAGGTTCGCAGCCCGATTCGTAACCTAAGTCATTATAAAGGTAAAAAACTATTTTGTAATGAAAAAGAGTTTAGAAGTATTAGAGGGAAAATGGGGATTTTGTTAATGAGCTTCCTTGGGATAACAAATTTGTTTTTTTTATGATTGATGAGAATATTTCCACTAGGAGACACGAAGAGGCAATTAAACAATTACAGTAGTTTTTTAACCTCCCAAATCAATTTGCTCATCTTTTTATTTGGAAAATGTGGATACTCAGAGGCAGGTAGATGGGTTAAGAAATGTGTCCTAATCTACACCATGATTTAATAGAAGAGCCAAGATTAGAAACCAAATGCCTTGATTCCTTTTCACTCCTGGTGCCATTTTCAACCCACAAACTGCCTTTTGTGGTAGATGCAGTAGGAACAACCAAAAACACTCACAATGCAACAATAAGTGACTTCAGCTACCTGAGAAATCTTTCCAAATCTTCTTTGCTGCATGGAGACCAGGAAACATCACCAAGATTCTGTCCTTTAATCCATTCACCAGACATGATATGGAGGCCATCGGCACATGATGGGTGATCATTATCATGATTAATGCCCATGCTGATGCAGAATATAATTAAGATTTTTTTTAATCACACAAAGCATTATACTTTTTAAACTTTTCAGAGCTACAATTAAATAAATAGCACTCAAAATCACTTAAAATAATGGGGAAAAGTGCCTTTAGGAATCTAAATAAAATTTTATTCAGTTTCGCTTATTTTTATTCATTTTGTTACCCCAGATTAAAGGGAAATATTTTTATTTAGTAGAAAATATTTCCCCCATCTACCTGCACAATGACATGTTTAGGACAACTATATCAAAATAATCTCTTGGTATTTCTTTTAAACAGCAACATGCACAAAACACAGAAATGATAATTTTCCATTCAAGAATGCTTTTTTATTTAAATCAGAAATAATGTTAAATTATAATTTCTCACATTTCTTATCAATTTATTTTATTAGGCCATCTTCACCTACCCTTATACAACGGATACTGTTCCTGGGAACCCTTCCACATTATTGACCATAAAGTATTTCCAGTGAAACCCAAATCTGTTTTTTGAAATTGGAACTCTATTATAAAAATCTCTCATCTTCAGATGTATGTTTGAAGAAACTTCTTAAATCCAACATGTCTAAAATTTGTACACATCATTTTTTCTTTCAGATCTGTTTACTCTCATATTACCTTTCCCTCTTGATTCTTTTTTATGCATTCTTTATTTACTCAGTCTGCAAAATCAAGAATCTTTAACATGACATTTATTCCTTCCTCTGCCAAATTATGATACTGAAGGAAGAAGTCCAAGGTGTATTGAAGGAATTGGCAAAGAACAATACACCAGGAATTGATATGATAAAAATTGAAATCTTTCAAGAAAGTGAGGTGGCACTGGAGGCACTCACTCATCTATGCCAAGAAATTTCTAAAACAACTATCTGGCCAACTGATTGGAAGTGATCCGTATTTGTGCCCATTCCAAAGAGAGGTGACCCAATGGAATGTGGAAACCACCGGACAATCTCTTTGATATCCTATAAGAGTAAAGTTTTCTAAAGGTAATACAGAAACAGCTGCAAGCATGCATTGACAGAGAACTTCCAGAGGTTCAAGGCGGATTCAGAAGAGGCCGTGGAATGAGGGATATCATTGCTGATGTCCGATGGATCTTAGCTGAAGGCAGAAAATACCAGAATGATGTTTACCTGTGCTTTATTGACTACACAAAGGCTTTTGATTGTGTGGATCATGACACGCTATGGAAAATATTGCAAAGTATGAGTATTCTGGAACTCTTAATTGTGCTCATGAGGAATCTATACCTGGACCAAGAGGCAGTTGTTCGAACAGAACGTGGGAACACTGAATGGTTTAAAATTAAGACAGGTGTGCGACAGAGTTGTATTCTTTCACCATACTTATTCAACCTGCAAGCTGAGCAAAAATCTGGAAAGCTGGGTTCTATGAAGAAAAACGTGGCATCAGGATTGGAGCAAACTCATTAACAACCTGTGATATGCAGATGATACAACCTTACTTTCTGAAAGTGAAGAGGACTTAAAATATTTACTGATGAAGATCAAGGACCACAGCCTTCAGTATGGATTACATCTCAATGTAAATAAAACAAAAATTCTCACCACTGGACCAATAAACAACATTCTTATCAATGGAGAAAAGATTGAAATTGACAAGGACTTCATTCTTCTTGGATTAATTATGAACACTCATGGAAGCAGCAGTCAAGAAATCAAATGACATTTTTCATTAAGCAAATTTGCCGCACAAACTGTTGAAGAGCAAAGATGTCAACTTGAAGACTAAGGTGTGCCTGACCCAAGCCATGGTATTTTCAATAACCTCATATGCATGTGAAAGTTGAACAGTGAATAAGGAAGACCATAGAAGAATTGAAGCTTTTGAGTTATGGTGTTGGAATAATGGACTGACAAAAAACCAAATAGACCTGTTTTGGAAGAAGTGCAGCCAGAGTGTTCCTTGGAGGCCAGGATGGCCAAACTTTGTTTTTCATACTCCAGACATATTGTCTGGATGGACTAGTCGCTGGAGAAGGATATTATTCTTGGTAAGGTGGAGGGTCAGAGAAAAAGAGGAAATCCGCCAGTGCGATGGATTGGCAAAATGGCAACATCAGTGGGCTCAAGCATGGCAACAATTGTGAGGTTGGCACAATAACTGGCAGTGTTTCGTTCTGTTGTCCATAGGGTTGCTATGAGTCGGTTCCGACTTGATGGCACATACGAACAACAACTGCCAAATTAGCAGAGTCGCTTTTATTTACTAAGTGTTAGGGTGGTGGCATAAATGGTTAAGCACTGGACTAAAGGACAGTGGTTGACGCTTATCCAAAGGATTCTCAGAAGAAAGGCCTGGTGAATCTACTTCCAAAAGATCACAGTCTTAGAAATCCTATGGAGCATAGTTCTGCAGTATATTTGGGGTTGCCATGTTTAAGAATTGTTACAGCAACAGGTTTGGTTTGGTTATTTTGGTTTAGAGGCAAACCCTGCCAATTTTACTTTCAAATATATATCTCTACTACTATGTTCTTTCCATTCCTTTTGTTACTTTTAAAGACAATTATCTCAAATAATATTGAAACCAATTAACATTGAATGACCCTATGTGTGTGTAAGAGTAAAACTAGACTCCATAGCATATTTAATGGTTAATTTTTCAGAAATAAATTGCCAGGCTTTTCTTCCACAGCAGCCCTGGGGAGACTCAAATTCCCAAGTTTTAGATAACAATAAGTGTGTTAATCATTTGCATCACTGAAGAACTCTCTAAAATATTTAGTCATCTTGACAATTGTTATAGCTCTCTACCTGGTTTCTATGCCTCTAATCTTCACCAACTCTTTTCACCCTATTCTATTACCACTTCCTGTGTCCTCTACCAAATACACCAACCCCAGTAAGACTTATTTCAAACTGCCATTCCTCTGGCAATCACCAGCTCTTTAGCATGGCACATTCCAAGTCATTTACTGCATTTTCTCTTCAGTTACACCGTATGACTTGCAGATCCCCAAAGAGCAAGCTATTTCTTATTCTCTTCTAATTGATAGTCCTTAAAAGTATTTTCTATGTGTCAGAAATTATTCAAATGACTTTAGAAACTTGAATCAAACAATCCAATGAGGTAGTAACTATTATAACTCATTTTGCTGGGGATAAGTAAAGAAACTTGCACAAGGTTATATAATGATCAAGTCTAGACCAATGAATGGAAGTGTCTAACTCTAGAACTCATATGATTAACCAACCATTCCACATTCTGAATCTATGAATTTCCATTAGGCTATCCTCCTGTCTGCAGCCAAACTGGCTTTACGTCAACATCTTTTCCTTGTAACATTCTATTTAATCTTCAAAATAATTACATTTTATCTCAAGAAAGTTTTCTTTTGTTAAACTCCATCTTGCCTTGCATATTCTTTTTCTTTTTCCTACCATAGAATTCTGTGCAGAACATTGTCACAGCATTTCCTACATTGCATTATATGTTTTTATTTTTTGCTAACTACGTTAGTTCTTGAGGAAAGGAATTTATTTCTCTTTAAGAGTCTGAAATAGAGGAATAACATTTACAACTTGTGTTAAAATGGCAAGCCAAACTATCATGCATTAATAAGACAAATTTTATTGCAATTTCTCAATTTGTAGAAAATCAGAGATAAACTTATCTTAAAGATAATTTGCTGTATTTGCTTTGATGAAATGTGAACCTAAGAAAAATAAATAATAATAGTGAAAATGTATATGCTAAGTGGAAATAAAAAATTGTATATATGGTATAATACCAGGAGATGATAAAGATGTCTGAGTATTTCTAAGTTTATCATTCTGGCATAGTGCCCCCAATTGTGCCACTCTTTCATTTCTGCCATGGATTCTGGTTATAGCACACATCACTGGGTGACCCTATTAAATCAATGGTCACTTGCCATGTGGAACATGTTTGCCTGGTTCATCCATGGGAGTACAATCTTTCAAACCATTTATAAATGATATTACTTTTGAAAGGCAACTGATCTTTATCAGAAATAATGTGTCCATGTGAAAGAATAAAAGTAACTACTTCCAAGATTTATTAATTTGGCCTTTTCCCCAAAGTTAGTGTAATATGATTTTTCCAAATTGGGAAGATTGTAACTTCTCATCCAGATGATCATTTTCCTTTTGGGACCCTGATTCTCATGTAAGAAACTATCTACAGCCATGGAGAGATATGGTAATTTAAGCATTGTTTACCATTAGTTAAATTTTCCTAAAGCTATTTAACAGAAAAGATTATCAGTTAAGTTGGAACAGCATTGTTTTACCACACATCTGGAACTGTCTGACGAAAAACTTTGCTTACTCCAAAGTTTATATTAAAGCAATTAATAATGATCCTTTATCTGCGCCAATCATGATATTAATAATTTATAAAGATGTTGTTATTTAATCCTCAAAATATATGCATCATGTTTTTAGTATGATGACTTCCGTTTTACAGACAAGGAAGGCACTGAAGTTAACAGTGGAGCAGTGAATCAGACCCAAGCAGTATTATACTCAAGGCTCCAGATCTCTAAACTACAACACTATAATGCTTACTTTTCTGGATTAAAGCTCCTCCCTTATACAAATGCTTTGCTGTTTTCTAAGGACGTGAAAATGCCTTCACTCTCTTAGCAGAAATAGATGCCTACATTGGTTACAGCCCTTTACCCAAGTCACATGTGTTGTATGGAAAACATTCTCTAAGTGAGATATTAGCAACACCTCTCCTAATACCCTGCAACTGAACTACATTTTAATAATCTCAGTTTAAATTCATTTTGACAAAGAGCCTTGGGCAAATAAACTCACCACTTAACATTGTACATGGTTGTCAAGTCAACTGAAAAAATATTTTTATCTTATAAAATTTCTCAGCTTGTTTAAAAGGCCCTGCCAGGAAGTTTTGTGATATCCTGGGGAAAACTGGAGAAGCATTTGGATTTTGAAGATGGTCCCTTTTGATGTTTAAAGACTTAGGGA